TTGTTACACTGGTACGAATCGAACCTCTAACTCGATAATTTCTTCGAAGTTTCTTCAAAACTCATTTTCAAAGATAAATTGCATACAGATAAAAATGAAATGACTCACCTTCTGCCCTGATGCTACCAAAAACTCGATGTATGTAATAACTTACTCAATATTCCATACGCGGCATCGGTAGATCTTGATATGTTATGATATCAAATAAAGACACTTTCCTTTAACTAAAGCTATTTATGAATCAAAGACTAAGTACAAGTATTATATACAGATTACAGGATATCTAGTTCCTACCGCTCTCAGAAAACTTTTAATTAGCTACACATACGGGCGGCGCAGCGCCCTCTATCTCTTTTTTTCTACAGGTCTTGTGCCCGTATCAATTGTATGCCTGTGTCGACTTTACGGAGTCCGTTCGTTATGAAGTGAGACAACAATTATTATCATAACTATCGTATGCCGTTAATATTATTATCATATCGATCGTATGACGTTAATGTAAAATTTAATAGTACGCCGTTAACGTCTGTAGTATGCTGATTTCGATTCTGAGCCTTGTCGATATTACGCAATGTTGGTGTAAACGGCGCCGAGGCTATGAAAGTAAGGCAAACTATCGTAATATGCAGTGCAACAAGAACGTCTATGCGAAACTTTAGGGACTCATAACTGGAGATTTGACCACGTGATAATATCCTACATCCAGAACACTTCAACGCGGATGATTGGCAGTCGAACAAGTTTATAATGCGCTAAATGCATGTTAACAGCAGGAGAAAAGGGACTTCGTATTAACCATAATAAAGCTGAACAAGATGATATACAAAAGCCAAAATTTTTCCCCATGTGTAACGTGTATACAAGCCAGTTTCCCTTAGAAAGTCCTCCACAAAGGCATCCCTCCCCTTAGGTGAATAGCCCTCTAGGCTTTGCCGTAATTAAATAACCTAACCTAACAAAAGCCAAAGTCAGATAATATTGTAAAATATATATCTTTAACGTCACTATAATAAAAAATCTGATGTGTACACCACATGACTTCCTTGTACGGAATATTAAATTATACGCATTTTTTCTTGCATTTCATTTAAAATTATAGGATTGAATTAAATCTACTTCGCCGACAGCGCATAAACCAGAATAGAATAAATGCATTCTTTAAAATTCACTCTAGTATTTGTTTACATAGCGACACTCTGGCGCTAGATTCATTTAGCAGTATTATATTTCGTTCATATTATAACTCATAATGCACAAAATTTATATCATTTAAAAAATAGAATTATCTAATCGTTGCCACATGTTCTATTCAAATACTATAATAAAGCTTGAATGATGTATAAAAGAAATTAAGCAAACAAAAAAAAAGAAACAGTTTTCTTCACAGACGATTGAGTATTTCTCATTCAATTAATTCAGTTCTCACTTCGCGAGAAGGCAAAAATACATATAAACTCAAAATATCTATATTAAAAATTAAGAAGTAAATCTTAAACACTTATTTCCTCCAAAAAATTCCAGAAAGGATTAAGCATGATTTAATTGGCTATAATAAATGAAGGCGTTATCTTTGTTGTTGCGAAGCTAAGTTTCTCTAGATTGGCAACAAATCCACTAGTATGCTGTTTCAAATGTAAACAATCAATGGCCGCCATAAAAAAGCTTAGCGGCACTTAAACAACTTTAAAATTGTTGATAATTCTAAAAATATTGCATACAGATTTACTAAAGGCATAAAAATCCTTAACCGGAAGATAAAAACAACATAATTCAATCATTTTTAAAGCAAAAAATGTACAATTTACAAACACGTATACGAGTAAAGGAAACTGAGATCACTGAGCCGGGTAACAGAGTGGGATATATATATAAATATATTTATATACGTTTAAGGTGCGGCCGATTGCAACCAAAATACGAGGTGCACATCTTGCATGTTATAGCAGTCCTACATACAAAATTTCAAACGTTCTGAGGCTACTCGTTTTTGAGTTATGCGAGATAACGTACGTACATACGTTCGTACAGACGCCACGAAAAGTTCCTCTTCAGAATTAATTTTAAATCAATTTTATAATTTTTTTGGGGAAAAAGAGTCTTTTTATTCTGTCCTTACGTGCAGATATGCCACGCCAAAAACATCGTTAAATTGCATTCGATTAGCGATCAAATGGATATTTTCGTTGGAAATATGCTGCCTGAAACTTTTCGCGATTACAATACTTCTTTTTTACTTCGTACAAGGAAGTAAAAAACATTCTAAAGCATTCATTAAACCATGTGTGAACACATGACGTCTGGAAGTTACATCTTTAGATGTAAATTGTGAACCGTAAATGAACTCATTGACTCACTCGAGGGAAATCGCAGCAATACATAAAGAAACGAAAAGAAGAAATTCGCAAAACTTCGAAGTTAGACATTGGGAATGTATACAGAAAGAAGGCAGTCGTTTTTGGATTAGAGTTTTAAATCAAAATAGTACGATGTACGATCGTTGACGTGCGATCAATCGCGTAGAGGTAATGTTTTTCGTTGTAGAGTCATTAGGTTATTTTGAAGCAAAAGTTGCAAAAAATGTGAATGCCGGGACTTGAACCTAGACCTCTTGAATACGCGAGTGTGCTACCGTTATATGACGAAGGCATGCAGAAAGGAGGAAAACAATACTTTATATACTCCCCCTTTAAAGGGTGACTGGGTATTATTGGACCCAATCGCCAAATTGTGGTAGTGGAGAATAATTATCCACCACCTTTTAGTTAGGGCACCATTTGTAGAGATCTTTCTTTGAATTTTTCGAGATGAGAAACTGAAGAAATCCGCAATGCCCTCACCGGAACTCGAACCTGGACCTCTCGATACGCGCCGAATGTGCCACCGTTATGCCACGAAGGTATGCCGGAAGGAGGGAGAAATTACCTTACATTGTGTTGATTAAAAAATAGCATAGCTGACTCTTTCTGTTCGTGCAGAAAAGTGTTTATTATAACTGTATTGTCTTTATAATTTTTAATTCATATTAGCAGTGTTTTTTCTTCCAATGTCTGAATGTATTGAATAAGTGGCAGAATTATGTATATTCCATGTAGCCAGTAAACATTCCGCCAATTTAAACTAAATTTAATTAAATAGGAGAAGAAAAATATTATATCCATTTTCTTCCCCCTTTCCTTTAAAGGTACCAGATTTAAAGGTATCAGGTTCCATTTGGAAATACCCACATTTAACTCACAGATACTCTTTCATTAATCAGGAAGCGAAACCCGCCAAAGTATCTTGTTCTTCAGATTCATGAACTGAATTATTTGAAATTTATTGCTGTTGACAGAAGATAGTTTCTCGTAGCTGTCGATAAAGCCTTCAAAATTTTTCTTCGTACCGTGATAAAAGACATTGTACCATTTAAAAAAAAGCGAAAACCATGTTGCTATCCCGTTTTATCAGTGGCAAAATTTCTGGTATTCTAAGTTCAATCTTTAGATCATTTTCTCATATGAATAAAATTCGTTTTTCCGTTATTAAAGTGTCAGTGTGGTTTCAAATATATCTGACGGTCGTAAAGAGCATTAAAATTTCAAATGTGAGAATACTAAATCTTACGTTTAGAAAGAAGAAAAAAAAAAAATCTGAAAGGTTTCAGATTTTAAATTATGTCCAAAGGGGCGTTTTGAACGTTTTGTGTGTTACCTTTATTTATTTTATATCAAGTTCTTTGCATTTAAACTATAAAATTCAGTTCAATAACAATGTCGCAAAATAATTTTAAAATGAGAATCTTTGGAATTTCCGATACACAGTCTGCGCGCTGGAGATAAAAAGGTTTTTTTTTTTTTTTTTCCTTCGTAGAGTGTTGCCATTGCTCGCTTTGAAATCCTTGAGATTATTAATGAAAAATTCGGTAAAGTTTTACAAAATATGAAATCGACAATAAAACAAATTCCAAATTTGGTCTTCCACATGCCCATATTCGTAGGAGGACTACGTCATTCAAAATTCGATGGCTCTATGTACCGTTGTTTTATCACAATGCGAGAAATAGACTTATACATTTATGCATATTTTTCACATTATTTAATTTCTTCAAATATAATGCAATACTCTAACATTCGGTGGCAACAGTTTGAAAAGGGAAATGGACATTTATAGTGATTCAAGAACAACATTTATAGTGAATTAAAAACGCAAAACGATTACAATAGTCCTTCAGGGACAAAGCTCGTTTGGACTAAAAATATCTTTTATACCTAATCATAGATGGTCACCTAAAAATACAATTTTGATTGGTTCTGTAAAATTATCCATAAATCTTCTTTAATTTGTGAAGTGGGTTTCTGTAAGGTCTTTCACATTCACGAAGATTTATCTCTTTAAGGTAATGACATTAATTCCAATCTCTTTCTTCCGAACGCTTTCAAAATTCTAATATCTAAACTTCTAAACTTCACGTTTCATTACTTTTATTCTGAACAGATAGCAAGACATTTTCTTATGCTTTGCTTCACCCATTAATTTCCATATCAATACGGTAGTTATACCTCTGACACATTTTTGCTTCTTAGGAAGAGGTTCTTAAATCTAATAATGAGAGAAATAGATAGAGTTTTATTCAAACTTTACACAAAATTTATCTAAGGTTATTTATCTTTTTTCTAATTGAGTTGCTTTTATTTAATAATACCTTGGCGTATTTCTTTTCTAATCAGCAGCAATACAATTAATTTACTTTTATGATTAATTTATTAAATAAAAGATAACATAAAATCGCATTACTTGTATAATGGTGTTGGTAGCTTTATGCTACAACGGTGCATTGGGTATTCACAACTTTAGAAGAAACTTACAATGGTTCCAGTATGCCAATATCCTTTTTCTTCATAAAGATATCGGCTACATAAAGTTGCCGAAACTGAGGAGAGATGTGAAAATGAATATGCATTTTTATGATTTTTACAGTACTGTACATGCAAATAAAAAAGATTTTATAATTTTCTACATAGGTATTTGGCCCCAATGGGATGCTAACTTGCGGAGAGCAGAGGCCAACGGGAGTGAAAAGTCATAACGCAAAAGGGTCAACTGCTGTTCCAATATTCTTCTCGTTTGCCTCCCGTTATCAGGAGTCGTATTTAGCAGAGATGGAGCATTTTCTCAGTGTTGTTCAAGGTATGAAGAAGAACTACATTTACTATTGTATTATATTTATAAGAAAACTGTTCTGCAAGAGCGAAAGCGAGATTTTAAACTTCAGAAACAGATCGGCAAATTTCATCTTTTTACTTCCTTTTACAGAAGTAAAAAGAAAGTATTGTAATTGCGAAAATTTTTAGACAACATATTTCAACGAAAATATCTATTTTGATCGCTATCGAATGCAATCTAACGATGTTTTTGCGTGACATCTGTACGTAAGGACAAAATAAAAGACTCTTTTCCTCCAAAAAAATTATAAAACTGCTTTAAAATACATTCTGAAGAAAATTTTTCGTGGCGTCTGTACGTACTACATACGTACCTCGCATAATTCAAAAACGAGTAGCCTCGGAACGTTGAAATTTTGTATGTAGGACTGCTATAGTATGAAGTTGTGCACCTCGTATTATGATTGCAAACGGCTGCACCAAACGTATATAAATATATTTATATATATATATATCCACTCTATTACCCGGCTCAGTGATCTCAGTTTCTTTACTCTTATATGTTTGTAAATTGTGCATTTTTTGCTTTAAAAATGATTGAATTATTTTGTTCTTATCTTCCGATGAAGGTTTTTGTGCCTATAGTAAATCTGCAAGCAATATTTGTATAATTAATCAACAATTTAAAAGCTGTTTAAGTGCAGTTAAGCCTAATTTTTAAATAAGATGGCGGACATATTTGTTTACATTTGAAACAGCAGAATAGTAGATTTGTTGCCAATCTAGAGAGACTAAGCTTCGCAACAACAAAGATAACGCTTTCATTTATTATTGCGAATTAAATCATGCATAATCCTTTCTGGAATTTTTTCGAGGAAATAAGCGTTTAAGATTTATTTCGTAACTTATAATACAGATATTTTGAGTTTTTATGTATTTTTTTAATATAGATATTTTGAGTTTTATGTATTTTGCCTTGTCGCGAAGTGAGAACTGAATTAATTGAATGAGAAATAGTGAATCGTCTGTGAAAAACTGTTTCTTTTTTGTTTTGTTTACTTAATTTCTTTTATACATCGTTTTAGATTTATCATAGTATTTGAATAGAATATTGGCAACGATTAGATAGTTCTTCAAATAATATAAATTTTGTGCATTCTGAGTTACAATATGAACGAAATATAACGCTGTTAAGTGAACCTAGCGCTAAAGTGTCGCTATGGTAAACAAATATAGTGAATTTTAAATATTTATTCTATTGTGGTTTATGCGCTCTCGACGAAAAAGAGTTAACTCAATCAAATAAGTTTAAATGAAATGAAAAAAAAGGTATAATTTAATATTCCGTACAAAGAAGTCATGTGGTGTACACATCAGATTTTTTTTAATGCATTTTCTCCAACTTAAGGACAACATGACATGATATTAAAAAGGATTCCTTTAATTTTACCAGCATTTATTTCTCATTTCTAAATTTAATCCTTTCCTTCTATTTATATTTTTAACCATTACTGCTAAATATTAAAACTTGGGTGAAATATCACCTACAGTAGCGAAACAAACAAAAAAAAAAAAGACTTTAAACCGAAGTCGCTAATTATTTTATGTGTGCAAAATTTCTACCCATCTTAAGTCACAAAAGAAAAGAGAACACAAAAAGTAAAACAACTGTAATTATGTATTACCTTTTGCCATCTTTGTGGTAGTAAGTTTATCCCATAATTCCTGTTTTAAAGTCAAAAAGGGTCTCTTGAGGCTATTTTCACATACCTCGCATGATCGAAGACTTAACAAAAGAAGGAGCTCATTGATTATTGGATGAAATAGTAGTCCGTAAGGGCATAGCCAGGTTTATACTTTATTTGGGTTAAACTTTCCAGCTAAAGTTCCTGTAAAATTTCCCCCGTATTTGAAAGCAATCTGAGGTCTGGCGCTATCATAAAGAAAGGTAACGCTTTGGCCACTGATGAGAGCTAATTGCTTAATTGGCACTTCTTTTCTCTGTCTGTTCAGATGTTAAGAGCAGAAGTCAGTATTTATTTTAGTTTAGTTACATTCTTACCGATTATTCTCTGGCTATCACCCTGCTGTACACTTAAGAAAATCTTTTCGGGATGCACCTTTTCATTCAAAGTTAATGGCACATTTTTGCAACTCGGCACACAGTTCTTCATTGCTTAAACATTATAGCATTTTGCTCAGTTCTCATATTCTATTACAATTCTTTCCAATAATGGTTCGCTTTTGTAACGAGAAAGCAAAGAAGCACAGGTTTCAACTCTTTCCTGTCGATATTATGTGCCCACCGCCGGTCGAGCATAAAGTGAACGTTCCATCCGAGCGAGCGACCTGGCTGCTTTGAGTTTACGTGGTTTTTAAATGTGTAACTTGGATAAGAGCCAGTCTCTCTTAAGAAGTCCTCAACGAATGCATCCCTCTACTTAGGCAGATAGCTCTAGTGTGCTTTGTCATAATCAAATAAACATTTCCCTGATATCTGGGCTACTGGATGTGGTTCATTTTTTACGGTATGCCTCAGGACTTTGTCCAAAATCTCCACTGGAATTTAGTTTTCCCTGGAATTTTTGAAACCAGTAGCGACGTGTTTTATCATTAAATCGGTATCATTTCATCGTCTCATTCCTATATATTACAAATGCTGCGACGAAGTGAGTCTGCTGCATTGCCCTAATGAAACTCGTATAGTAAATGGTACGTGAGGCGCTCCATATAACTTTTAATTTTAAACTGTTAAATGCGGGAGTTACTCTGACAGACTCAGCCGTCTTTATATATTCTATTGCTATATTTTTTGTTGGTCAGAAAGATTCAAATACTTAGTATCATTTTCAATGATCCGAACACATTTTGCATCTGAAAAACGGTAGTTTGTAGTTTAAAAGAATGAAAGTACGTGAAATTTAAAAATTTGTCAAGCTTAAACTTGCCAAACAGTTAAACTTTAATGACATAAAAACATATTTAACAGATGTCTTATGCTGCGGTAGATGGTATTGTGCTTAAGCTGACTGCTAGCCCAACTTTAGTGGGCGCTTTCGCCTTTCGCTTATTGTTTATTTTTGTGTGTTCGCGGGTGTAATATCGCTCTATCCGTAACCGACGGATATTTGAAAAACAAGTGTCTGTCTACTTTAAAAGTGACATATCTTAATTATAACACACTACGACATGATAATTATAATAGCAGAAAAAAATTAGGATAAATTTATTAACATTTTTATATACATGAGGTTTTTGGCTCAATATTTGAAAAAAATCTTTTTTTTTTTCCGCCTCTTTCTCAAGTATTTTAGTCTAATTTGCAGTTACAATACCTGGGATGGAAAATGCCACACCATGTAGGGGTAACTGGAAACAGACCAAACTTTCCACATAGGTAGATAATAAGAGACTTAACAAATGATTTAATTTTTGAAAACGTACAACGCTATGAAACTTAGATATGCATGGAATCAATAAGATATTGCAGCTCCATTTCGGGCTATGCATTCTTGAACATGATGTTTCACTGAACATTATGTGTCCGGATCATATTCTGTGGTACGGTGTTTCACGCTTGTTTAATGTGATTCGATAGTTCATGTTTGTGTTGTAGAGGAGGGAAGGTATTCTTCCGATGCCCAGTTATGGCACACTTATGATGTATGTTCTTGTGTAATTGGACAGTCCAAAAGTGCATATGCCTACTTTGCAGAGCATTTAGAGTGAGCCTAGCAGTGTGTGGTTAGGAGTTATCTTGTTGAAAAAAGGCGTTTGGTATGCCCTGAAGGTGCATACGGAGATGTAGTTACAATACATCGTACCATAAACAACGTCTCCTTTATATGTTTGTAGTGAGCATCAGGAGAAAAATGGTAGTATTAGCAGTGACGGTACTCGAAAACAACATTTCACGCTGACCGGCCGTATGAACCCAAAAGGCCTATCACACGTGTTGGGAGAAGGGGATAGGTTACTTCGCACTCCATGGTGATGTCGCGCAAGAGCTGCAAGGCCTTGTTTCTGGAAGGTCGCGCGGTATATAGCTCGAAAATAGTTGAGAATTCGCGTGGTGGCTATGTCACTTCCACACCTTCAAACACAGATCGTCATCTGTGAGGCACAAGTGAGAGATTTCTCACAGACGACCTCACTGTTCCTTTCAGCACTCTTTACAGCTCCGCTGTCAACACGATTGCAAACAGTCACAACAATGATTAGCTGTTACGGTTAGACACCAAACCTAAATTCACCAATGCGATGCGAACTGTTCGCATGGATACTGCAACAATAGAAACGTCCAACAACTTTGCAAATGCAAATTGTGCAAATTTGCAAATGCAAATGCAAATTTGCAACTTTGCAAATTGTGGACCCTTGGTCAGATATGCTGTAACTCCATTTGCGATGATAAGTAAACTGTGACATGTGTCTCCTTGCCTCAGACTCTTTAGGCTTTGCATATTTCTTTGTGGGTCCATAGTTGCCAAATCTTACTAGCAGCTGTGCCCATCAACCTTCGTTTCTTGCTCGATACTTCATCAATGTTCAACAAGGGGTATGAGGGCCTAACAGAAAGCTTTCTCGGAACTCGTCCGTTTATTGATACTGAGTACGACGACGGCTTAAACACACTAACTTATCTTCTTTTTTGACCACACTCGAATACAGCCAAATAAACCTCGTGAAAACCCCGAGACGTATGGCTTTGTGCTTTGTTTGAAAACTTATATCGCGCATGCTAATCGTCTGATTGATTTGAAAATGCGTTTATTTGCATAGCTTGTACATGCACACTTCAAAAGGAATTAATATGATATTGCTTATGCATCTGTTTTAAGTGGCAATTTCTCTGTCAAGCGAAGCATTTTAAATGTACTGTGCAGCTGCGCCAACAAGGTTGGTGTAACTGTAACTGTCACCAGTGAACGTTATCCAAGGATTCTGAAAGTTATTTTGGAAATGAATATGAAGAATTTATGATTCCTACAAAACAAGAAGGATACCACACAAACATCTAGGGCATGCATGGATTTGTTTTGGAGCAGATATTTCTAAATATCTTAATTTTTCATTATGATATCACTTCTAGATCGTCTCAGTTCCTGATTTAACATATGCTGATTTAGAGATCCCTAAAGCATGTGGGGGTATCTCAAGCAAGATGTTTTCCGAACACATTGTGTCACAGTATGTTTTTTTCTAATGGCGGGCACTTGCCTATGCCTGTATCAGCCACTCCTAAGGCCAGATGTGGTTGTCTCTTTATTATGGAGGCACCTAATAGGTGGGCCATCATTGCCTCCTATGAAGGAACAGATAATTTTTATATCCATGCCTTCTTCGGGATTCGAACCCGGGCCCTTTGTGTCACAGTATTGGGAATCAAAAATTGCATCAGAGCTGCATCCACCTCTATCTGGGGAGAGAGATGTTATGCGAGTAACTGAAAGAATGTGAGGTGTAATCACATAACAAAAGCCATATTCAAATACAGGCAGATAAAGACATTCCTGTAACAACACATCGACATAAATATTAATAAATAGAAAGCATTTGTTCACTTATATGGTTTAGTTAATGCACTATGATTTTGCCACATCCTGTACAGGGTTTCTCAAACGTCCTTCCCATACATTTAGATTCATTATAACTTTCTAATTAACAGAAACATTTCAATGAAATAAATTTGTACTATGTTTTTGCCTATAAAGTTTTAGCTGACTATCATACATGATGAAAATATCTCAGGTTGCGAGTGATCACAGAATTCCACGATTGCGTTAATTTACGAAAAGCCGTAAATATGCGTTCTAGCGCGTCGAATGTCCAGCAACATATACCAAAAAGAGCACCGAGCATAAAAAACATCTAAAGGAGGTATGCAAACTTTCTTCAAACAAAAAGCGTCCCGGATTGCCGTAGATTGCTCAGATCTTGTAAGTCTAAGCTTCCGTGTAAATATACTAAAATATAAAGCTGAAGCGTCTTCTGGGCTACTTAACAAAATTTTGATTTACATATTAAATAAATAAGAATATTCGAGAAATTATTTACTTATCATGTCTTATACTTAACTTTAACAAGATGTTTACTCTAGTAAAAACTGGTTTAACTTTTATTATTATTTTGCAGGCTTTGAAGAATGTGAAGTTAGCGTAGAATCTGTTTTGGCCATATCCAGAATAGCATCAGCGTGTGAAGAAGCGGTAAAAACTGGAAAGAGTGTCCCACTGCACTGGGACAAGCACATGAATGGACTTTAAACAATTATTATAGCAAAAGATTCCTAATTATATCACATATGTATTTTATCTTAAAAAAAATGCTTTTAATGAAAATCGTATGTATTTTCCAAAAATTAAAATTTTACTTTTATTTACGAGAGATTGTTTGTGTTTTTAAATGATATTTTGGTATAACATAATGATAATAAATTACTTTAAAACCTTATTATACGGTTCTGCACATTGATAACCAACTGTTTGACGCTTTAGAAATGTTATTATGAGTAGGGAAATTCTGCCAGTGTTGTAAATAATAGCTTTCAAACAAGGGAGTTATCGCCCGTTGTTGGGTGCTGAAAAAATAGATGTACAAGTGTATTACTATGGTCGAAGGGGCAGTAATCGGGCATTAAGATATAAGTAAGCAATGAAAACACGCTTGGAGAATTTCGTTGCTAAATACTTTTGAAATAAATATTTAAACATTCAATTCATTATAGAAATACTGTAATCAAGCATTTTTACAAGATGTAGGCCAATTTTTGCCAATCAAAGCTTCATACATGTTGTCCAAGTTGCATGTAGTGTTCAGAACATAAGCAACAAATTCCTTTTTCAACACACTAGGATAAAATTGTTGAAAAGGGCTTTTGCGATCAGTGCAATGAAAAGCCAACTCAATAGAAAGGAGACGCAGATAGCAAATACCTGCACAGGTGACAGGTGAAAGCCGTCCGGATACCCGAGAGACTAATCGGGTATTGTCCGGAGCCCGCAACTGTTTAGTACGACACCCCCAGCGCCCCACAAGGAATTCATTAAGGTGCTACATATGCTGATGAAGACATTAAACTATACATTTTACACATTGCTACACAGATGATAAGTAACTAAAATATAGATACTAAGTAAACGAAATTTCACAGATAATTACGAATGTTGAAACAGATATTTAAATACTAATGCAGAGATTATGCAGATACATAGATGCTAAATGCACTATAGTACAAAGTCCGTAATCCAGACTCGTCAGGACTTCGACGATTCCGGATTAGGGATTTAAATCTGGTAAGATGGCATGCGGAAATTATCCAATTAAAAATATGAAACCGTAATTTATGAAATAAAGAGCAATTATGATCTAAAGGGTATGAAAATTTACAAAAAAAAAAAAAAAAAAAGCTTAATATTTATTTGTTTACTTTAGTAAACATCTATCAATGTAAGTTTTTTAAGTTGCTTCGTTTTTTGTTCTAATACTTTCTCTTTAATTCTATAAACAGACATAATTTCTTGTTTAGTTACAAAGTTCCACTGTTCAAGTCCTGTAATTGCTGTGTCGAGAATACCGACTAACTTGTCAATCGAATTTTTTTCGTTTTCGATAACGTTCTCTGTTACTTTCTTCACTATCGGAAGCGCGCATGGGTAAACCCTTTACTGGCTTTACGCGCATCAAACGCGCATGCGTAAGCTTGTGGCTTTGAGGTCCGGATTATAGATTATTCCGGATAATGGATGTCTGGATTAGAGACTTTGTACTGTATTACATACTACACAGATATTAAAAACGAATGTTGACACAGCTTCTAAATAGTAATGCAAGTCATCACACAAATCCCATATACTAAATACACTACTATACATACTACACACATATACTAAATATTGATATCGATACTCAGATACTATATTATACTGATAAACAAATACTGTAGACATTATCATTTACTACCCGGATATTAAATGCGGATGCAGACAGCGATTCTAAATATTAACGCCAGATATTACGCAGATACACAGATATGCGGATACTAGCGCAGATGTACTGATACGAGACAGATACTAATATATACTGATAAACAGATACTATAAACACTACTATTTTCTACATGGATATTAAATGCAAATACAGACACAAATTCTAAATACTATTGCAAGACCAAGCGTTTCACAACGTTTTTCTACTCGCGTACCTCTCGGCCTAACATCTACATGTACAGTTACAGTAATAACATTATAATACAAACACCTTTTTATTCTTACTAGTTGTGCAAAAACGATATGTATTGGTAATTATAAATATTTAATTTAATTAAAAATAAGAGCACATTTAATGGAAACTTTGGAGTTTGGCAGCACCTAGTAATTTAAAATCCAGATCGGAAGATGACAGATACTCAAGCCCGAACACACGCTTGAAAATCTGGTTCTCTACTTATTGTTTAATTATCTGTGAGAGGAGAAAGCCTTCTCCACTAATACGGTGTTTGTGAATGGTAGCAGAATAGTGATTGCTTTGTTGAGTAGTTCAGATTGTGTTCTTTCAATTTAGTCCAGAATGAGAAGAGGGGTGTCTTTTCAAATTGTAACTTAAGTGACAATGGCTTTTTATCTTTTCTCTGTTGTTCAATCTAGCTATTAATGTCCACCACTACACCATTTATTTCTACGTACCTCCTGGAGCCCTGTCACGTACCACTGATACGTGTACTACAGGTTGAGAAACGCTGCTCTAAAGCAATGTTTCCTAACCAATATGCAGCGACATATCGATTTACATCATGGAAGACAGCACATTGCCAGTCCTTTTGCAGTACTACGCCACGAATGTGATGTTGGAATTTAATAGTCATGTCATACAATTTTTCCTGTACAATTAAAGGCCACACGTAATGGCATGAGAATTGTGATCAAAAGTGGACCTTCAGAGGCGTCCTTTTTTTTCAATTTTATGTGCGGTGATCAGAGTTCAATTCTTGTTCTTCCTTGCCCATGTTCTCTCCAGAGGTCTAGAGCTCCTAAGTTAAAAGAAGAATTTCAGTATTCACCTAAGGTAGAAGGCAATTACTGGTTGCATGAACTGACAAAGTTAATAGGTTCGAAAACAAAATTCAATTTAAAAAGATGTGAGGAAAAAGAGTAACTGAGAAATGCTTAATCGGTATTGTAGTTCGAATCTTGAAATTGAAGTATTGGAACTTTTAGATGAACACCTATGGTTAAGAGAAAACCTCACTATTTCATTAATTTATTTATACAAATACCAGACATTTGACCACGAAGCCATTAGTCTTGATCTTGCTTCCCAATACTTAATAACAACAGAATTAAAAGATAATAGTACAGTGCATTCGTCAGTGTGCTCCTTATCTATGGACTGTCTAGAATTACAAAGAGTATAGACTGAAGAATCCTCAAGTCGAATTTTGAAAAGATGGGGAATCAGCCAATCGTGCCCAGCCAAAAGACGAAACAACGCCACTGCTACAGGGCGAGGAAAATCTGGAGTTACTGACTTTGAACTAGTGAGACACTCCCAGGCCTTTCCCTTAGATTCATTTGTTAGGTAGGAGGCAAACATCCCCTTAAATCCAATTTAATTAGGAGGCTTGCAGAATTGAAAATCATATGGTTATTAGCGGTTTGTATAAATAGTCATTATTTTTCTTTTAGTTACAGTTTTCTATGATAGTGACTGTTTTAAAACTATGATGCGAGCCTTTAGTTAAAGGTTACTTCATGTTGATGTGAGATGTATACTTGTATATATTGAAAGCTAGAAAAATCGGTGACTTTTTCCTGTAAGTTTTAACAACATCACAGTATAACTTTAACGACGCAATGTGACGTCACAAAAAACGGACATTAAGCCATACCTACAACGTCACTGTCACTTTGAGATCGCCACAGTATGACATTTTTGCAGCGTCGCAGGATATCGCCATGTTGTTGGGGTAATGTCTGAAATCATGTAAATTTTAGATAAGCAAAATCTTGATAGAAGAAATAGTTTCAATCAAATTAAATCCAGTCTCTAAGCAAGTGTTTAAAGATGACTGATTAGCGAGCTTTGCTGAAGCTTTGAAAATTGTTTTAATTTTCATGGAAGAGGTTGAGGGTGTTTGTTTAATAACTGGACGATGTGGAAGGTAATGAACTACGGGTAAGGGTGACTCCTCTTGAGGAACTTTTCCCTGCAGCCATTCGTCAAAGACGTCATGATACTTTTCACAATACCCTGTTTTCTCCACATTCTTAGTAATATCGAGTCTTTCCAAAGACAGATTATAATTAACTGTCAGATAAGATGGTATGCTGAATTTTCTAAGGCATATTAACCTCGTATCTACCATTTTCTATTTGATGAACTGTTTCTTGAAAATGAACCATAACAGGTCTTTTCGACTTTTCTTTAGGTTCTTGTTCAACAGGATCTCGGATACCTTATAATTCTAAGTCCCACAGCGATGAAATAGACATATTTTCTTCAAGTAACATAGAAATTATTGTGGGGTTTCCCTCAGTGTGAATAACCAATTATTTAAATTTTGGTATCTTTTCTGAACTTCTTATTTCCCATGGCATTCTTTCGTTAGGATTCAAATTAAGTTAAGTGTATTTAAACAGGAAAAACACGAAGGGTAGACAGAGTGTGATTTCGCTAGTTAGCATACGTTGCTATTCTGTCCCCCAACTGTTAATCGTATTTGCGGCTATGTATTCTGGCCGTTTATTAAGTCGGTGTAGGTTGTTGAGACAGCCTGTTAGCTTTAAGTAATGTGTAGCCTGTTAGCTTTAAGTAATTGGGTAATGTGTAGTGTAGCACTACTAGTTACCATTTTGAATTTATTGTTAAATTATCCTTAAGTTTCCACCACAAGTACGCGCCGTTTTGTTAAAGAGTTTGAGTAATAAAAGCAAAATTTACACCCTTTCCCTGTGTTGTTACTCTTCACGTCTCTGCAAGAAGTCTTCAGGCTTACTACTAAGATCAAGTCATTTGCAAGATAGCGGAAAGAGTGAAATTTTACGACTGACGCCCGAAAACATCCGGACCAATAACCGAAAGTTAAGCGACGTTTGAGCTGGCCCCATGCACATCGCAGACCCCACCGGTTCCTGTAAATATAATGGAAGGATTTGGCTTCCTGGTAGACACAATGCAGGCCTCCACTTCCATGAAACCCGCTGTGAAATTCGACAGAAGACGTCAGTCTCCAACTTCTAGGAAAAATGGACAACCACTTTTTGTTGTACCCGGATCTTAGAAGTACAAAAAATAACAATTGCGACAACCGCCTTACGAGGACAAGCACCAAGCTGGTTTAAAGTGATCGGAAAATTTCTACTGGGGGAAATAGAGAGCCACACGTATAC